TATTTTCCAGGAGTTTTATAGTTCTGCATTTTACATTTAGGCTTATGATGAATTTTGAGTGGCTTTTTTTTTCTAAAACTGTAAGGTCTACATCTAGATTAAATTTTTTCTTTTCTTTTTTATTTTTTTTATGTACGGATGCTCAGCTGTTAAACCATTGCTGTAATGTCTTTGTTTCCTTGTCAAGACCAGGTGATTATATTTATGAGAATCTATTCTGGATTTCTGTTCTACTCCATTGAGCTATCTGTCTATTATTTTTCCAGTGCCATAATTGTCTTGATTATTGTGGTTTTATACTAAGTTTTGAAGTGGGGTAGTGTCAGGAATCCAAGTTTGCTCTTTCCTTCAATATTGTGTTGGCTACTCTGGGTCTTTTACCTTCCCAGAATACACATTAGCATCAATTTCTTGGTCTCTAACAAATAACTTGCTGTCATTTTCACTAGATTGCATTGAATCTACAGGTCAATTTAGACAGAAATGACATTGTGACAATATTGAGTCATCTTATATATGGACATGGAATACCTCTCCATTTTATTTAGTTCCTATTTTATTTCTTTCATTAGAGTTTTATCATTTTCCCAGTATAGATTTTGATCATATTTTGTTAGTATTTAATTTAAATGGTGGGATTTTTAAATTTCAAATTCCATTTTTTCTTTGTAGGCATATAGGAAAGGTATTAATTCCTGTATCTTAAGTCTGTATTTTGTAATCTGTTTATAATTTCTTATTAATTTCACAAGTTTTTAGGCAATTCTTTTGTATTTTCTATGTAGACATTCATCTAAGAACATTTTTTCTCCTTCCTTCCCAATCAGTTTACATCTATTCACGTTTCTTGTCTTATAGTATTAGTTAATACTGCCAGTTTCATATCAAAAAGGAGTAGTGAGAAGGCATCTTTGTTTTGTTCCTGATAGTGGCAAAGCTTCTGGTTTCTTTTCACTAAATATAATGTTAGTAACAAGGGTTTTTTAGAATTCTTTTATGAAGTTGTGGAAATTCCCCTCATTTCCTAGTTTAATGAGAGGTTTTATCATGAATGGGTATTGGATTTTGGGAAACCCTTTCCCTGAAACTATTGATATGATCATGTAATTAATTTTATTCTTTAATATGAATTTATTAACTAACAGATTGAGACAGTAATATTTAAATGAACCATGAGACTCAAAAACATCTAGTTTGTAAATTACAAAATCAACACATAATGGAAAATACAGTAATGTTTA